TGTTCAAGACCAGCCTGAGCAAGAACAATTAAAAACTCTACTAAAAACTGAAAAAAATAGCCAGGCATTGTGGCAAGTACCTAGTCAGAACCAGTCAGGAGGCTGAGGCAGGAGGATCCCTTGAACCCAGGAATTTGAGGTTGCTGTGAGCTAGGCTGCCACCATGGCACTGTAGCTCTAGCCTGAGCAACAGAGTGAGACTACTGTCTCAAAGAAGTAAATAAATAAAAAGATAAGACAATTTTCACGTTTGCAGATACTATTACATTCTTATAACTAGTAAGAAATTATATGAAAAAAACAGTAAATTTGCTACTTACATTTATACACTTATACCACATATACACACACGCACATCAAAATTTTTCTTATATGTTAGTATAAAATGGTTAAGAAAATTGAGAAAGATACCACTAAACAGAAATGAATAACCAGAAACAGATAGAATATTCCTAAAACATGTGTGACAAAGAGTTTGTATTCAGAACACACCAAAGAATTACAACTCAAAAATGAAAGACAACTCAACTGAAAAGAATGGGCAAAGATTTAGAAACTTCAAAATAGGATATACCACTGGCCAATAAGCAAAAGACAAACTACTTGATATCGTTAGTCATTATAGAAAGGCAAATAAAAACAATGAAATAAAATATCACTATATGACTACCAAACTGGTTATAAGAAAAAGACTGACAACACCAAAATAACCATGATTCCAACTCATTACTAGTGGAGTTCAAAATAAGACAACCACTTTGGAAAATTCTTTCTAAGTTCACATAAACTTAACATACATTTGTCCTACAGCCCAGTAATTTTACTCCTACTATTTACCAAGAGAATAAAAACATTTGCCCACAAAAAGGCTTGTGCACAAATGTTTATTGCAGCATGATTCCAAAAAAATGTAAGCAACTTAAATGTTCATCAGTAAGAACCTGAACAATGAGATACTTCATAGTAATAAAAAGGAAGGGATCACTAACATGTACAGCAAGGATGAATCTCAAAAACTTTATGCTGGTGATAGGAAGTAGGAACTTCCATATACTAGAAATAAAAATTCCAAAGTGAAATTAAGAAAACAATCTCATTTACAACCCCAGAAAAACAAATAAAATGCCCAGAAACAAATTCAATTAAAAAGTACAAGACTTTTACACTAAAAGTTATAAAACAATATGGAAAGAAATTAAAGAAGATCTATCCTTGTAAATGTATCAGAAGACCTGACAATGGAAAGATGGAAATATTCCCCTAGATTGACTTACAGATTCAACACAACCACTATCCAAATCTCAGCTTATATTAAAAAAAAAAAAAAATCAAGATACCCTGAACCATCAAAACAAGCTTAAGCAAAGAGTAAAGTTGGAGAAATCACATTTTCCAATTTGAAAACTTACTACAAGTCTACAGCAGTCAAGACAGTCTGATAGTGGCATAACAAGAGACATTTAAGTCAGCAGAATAAACTGGAAGGTCCAAAACAAACCATGAAGGAGTAAATCTTCATGGCCTTAGGTTAGGCAATGATTTCTTACTATGGCATCAAAAGCACACACACACACACAAATGAAAACCAAACTGGACTTAATCCAAATGAAAACTTTTATGCATCGAAATATACCTTCAAGTAAAGGAAAAAACAACACACAAGATGGAAAAAATATTGCAAATCATTACCTGGCAAGGGACAATAAAAAAACAAGGAAAAGATTATTAGATTATTAGAACAGATATTTCTCATAAAAAGATACATGAGCAGCCAATATACATACAGAAAGATTTTTAACATCACAGTCTTTAGGAACATGACAATCAAAAGACACCATTTCTCACACACTAGCATGACTACAGTAAAAAAGACAGACAAGTTGGCGAAGATGTGGGGAAAGTTAAATTCTGGTACATTGCTAGCGGAAAGGTAAAATGGTGCAACCATTTGCAAGACAACTTGAGGCTTCCTCAAAATGCCAAAAATAGAGTTACCACGTAACCTAGAAAAATCTACTCCAGTAGAATGACAGAAACATTTGTCACCATAAAAGCACAAATGTGGTGTTCCTGCAATTGCCAGGGGGATCTTGCTCAAAAAATCTTTTCCCAGGCCAATATTTTCAAGCATTTTTCCCATATTCTCTTCTAGAATTTCTCATTGTTTCATGTCTTAAACTTAAATCTTTTACCCAGAGATGATCAATTTTTGTCAGTGGTGAGAGGTGCAGGTCCAGTTTCAGTCTTCTTCATGTGGCAAACTGTTCTCCCAGCACCATTTATTAAATAAGGATTCTTTGCCCAGGGCATGCTTGTGTTAGGTTTATCAAAGATCAAATGACTATACGTGGCTGGATTCATCTCTAGATTCTCCATTCTATTCCACAGATCACTGTCTCCATTTTTGTGCCAGTACTATGCTGTTTGGATCACTATAGACTTGTAGTATAACCTGAAGTCTGGTAATGTGATGCCTCCAGATTTGTTTTTATCTCTAACAATTATATCGCTGTTTGGGTTTTTTTCTGGTTCCACATGAAATGAAGTACTCTTTTTTTCAAGTTCTTCTAAGTATGACATCTGTAGTTTGTTTTGGGTAGTATGATCATTTTCATGATGTTTATTCTTCCTAGACACAAGCATGGTATATTCTTGCATTTGTTAACATCTCCTGCTATTTCTTTTCTCAGGATTTCATAAATGGGATTTGATCAAGCTAACGCTTCTGCAGAGCTAAAGGTACCATAACCAAAGTAAACAGACAGCCTTCAGAATGGGAGAAGATTTTTGCATGTTATAAATCTAACAAAAGCCTGATAATTAGAATTTACAAATAACTCAAATGAATCAACAAGAGAAGAGCGGACAAGTCATTTTTAAGTGGGCAAGAGACTTGAAAAGAAACTTCTCTGAAAATGACAAATGGCCAACACACACATGAAAACGCTCATCGTCTTTAATCATCAGACAAATGCAAATCAAAACCGCTCTGAGGTATCAGAGACCAGCTGGCTGCAGCGGGGAAATGAGAGAATGAGAGACCTTTCCAGGGTGAAAAAAATGTGGTTTCAAAAGGCAGATACAATTGTCAAAGCTCACTGAACACTGCACCTTGGATTAATATATTGCACTGCACGTAAATTATGCTTCAATGAAAGCTAAATATAAAGAAAAAGCACCCACAACTGAGGTCAATAAAGTAACTATTTTTGGCTTAGGATACAGTTAAGTGTTTAAGAAGAGGCACTATAGAGAAGGCCACCACGACCACCTCCAGGTTTGATTTGTTAAAATGACTTACAAGTCTCAGAACATTTTCATACTCACAGCTATGGCTTGTTACAGGCAAAGGATAAAAAGCAAAGCCAGCAAAGGGAAAAGGCAGAGAGACCCAGCCCAAGTGAAAGTAGGAGCAAGCTTCTAGGAGGCCTCTCCCTGTGGAGTCACACGGGGTGCCTTTCATTCCTCCAGCACCAAGTTGTGACGATACACATGACATGCTGTTGGCCAGAGACACTCATTACAGACCCAGTGCCCAAGGTTTCTACTGGGGGGCTGATTAGGTGGGCACCCTTTGCTTAGTACAAGCTAAGATTCCAGACTCCCAGAAGGAAAGGATAAAAGGAAACTACACTTTTTGCACAAAAGATTGACAAACAGTAAGCTACTCTTATCATTGAGGAAATCCACATCCCAAGATGCCAACCCTGCATGCAAGACCTTCGTAAGGACAACAGGTTCAGACCTGCTATGTTAACTCTTCTCTACACAGCCATGATATTTGCAGTTTATTGTCAGCCAGTCCCAATAATAATAATCTGTACAATAATCACAAAAATATGAAAAGAGGAAAAAAATAAAGCAAATGTATCAAAATGTTAATAAACTCATGAATCTGGGTGAAAAGTTCTTTGCAGTATTCTTACAACTTTTCTTTGAATTAGAAATTATTTCAAAATAAAAAGTAAATTAATGGGAGCCAGAGGGATTTTATTCTTAAAAGGCTTTTCTTAATAAAAATCTAAAAATAATTTCAATTAAAAAATGTATACTTACCATAAACAGAACTATAAAATTACAGTGAGATATGAAATATTTGAAAAGAATTACACAACATGCTGTGAAATACAAAAAGTAGACATCACAAAACGTCACTTAGTCCCAAGATTTTATGAGACATAGTGGACACTGGATTTTACCAGTCTAGCATACTTTTTACCATTTCTCATGGCAACAAAATTCTTGTCTTGGACTGAACCCATTTCACGGGTCCACTCACATGGTTTATATGCACAGCCGACCCTGCCCTCCATAATTTCCACTCACACAAAACCATGCCCACCAAAATGACTAGGCCTTGGTGATTCCAGTCCCTACATCTCTGAACACAATAACTACATCAAAAATAAGCACCTGATCAAAGCTGGGCCAGTCAGATAAAGTAGTAAGGAAAACTTCTTGTCCTGGTTGCCCAAGTGTCAACACGAGTATCTCAGCTGCCTGGGACCATCTTACCCACCATGTGAAGAAAGCCAGAGGGAAGATAGAAGCAACAGTACTCAGAAAACGTTAATTTGAGTACCCTGAATCCAGCCTTATCTGGGCTACAAATCTATGAAATTCTCAGTGACATAATTACATTTTCTTTTTTTGCTTAAGGCTAATAATTTAGGTTTTCATTTCTTACAACCAAGTGTTTTAACTAATGTATCATTAATATCTCAAACAAAAAAATTCTAAAATTAATAAAAATAGACCAAATTAACAGAGAAAATAACACATGAAACAAGGCAGATGACCCTAATAGTGACTGTAGTGTATGTGTGTAACTAATCTTATGTTCTAAGAAACATCGCAAATTATCAAGGGATAAATTATTTAGCAACAATCAGTATTAAGAAAATTATAATAGTTATTTGAAAAAATAAAATAGAGCCTCACTTCACATTCCCTGAAATTAATTGCCCAGAATATCCCAAATGAAAGAGAAAAATACATACCTAGATTATTTTCCAGCCACTGATGCCCTTCAATTAGTTGATCAATTAAGGCAAAATAATGGGAAGTAGCTTCATCGGGCATGACCCAGCCGCCTGTCACAATCTCAAACTGACCATTTTCTATTAAACTGAGGAGAAAATTATAAGAGTTTACATTAACAAATACAAGAAAAGTTCAAATAAAAAAACTAAACAAACACTTAATTATAGCCCTTAACTATAACCAGTATTTATACTAGTTTTAAAACAGTATTTTCCATACCAGTGAATGAATTTTAATTTGAGGCCCGTGATAAAGCACTCTTAGAGAAGTACCTTGAGTAACCTCTCTCCTCCCCTGGGCAAAGCCACCAGATCATTCTGGAGGTTCCTTTTCACAGGGTATAATCTGCCTCACAGTTTCAAAGATTCTCAGTATCAGGTGCTACACAGACTTATTTCTGAATCTTGCAGAGCACCTGGCGAAGTGTTTTACTCAGTATATGCTTGAGAAGTATTCATTGTCTGGCTGTCATCTTAAGCACAATACTTGTTTCAATATACCTTTATCAGAAAATTAATATTTACTTTAGTCCTGATAATGCTGTAAGTGAATCATGCAAACTACTCCACAAAATAGTAATAATAAAGGTAAAGCTAGTAAATATCACATGACTCTGAGAATACAAAAAACATTATAAAGCACTTTGCCCCAGACTTAGGTAAAATGTCAACTATACAGTTTATTTTACAGTATTGAATGAAAAGCTCTAATTTTATCATTGTCTATCGGGTACTCTTTGCTGTAATGCAACATTACACCTGGTGACAAGATTCCCCAGCCCTAATAATTGAATTGTTTTACGAAGACATCTTTCCCTGAGAAGAAAAAAAAAATCATAAAATATTAAAATATTTGAAGAAATGCCTGAGGAAGCATTAAAGTTATGAAGATAAGCATATATCTTATGAGCCACAAACTTCTCAAGGTACAAGACAGTCTGAACAATGAGGTAAAATTTTAGAAAAAAGCAAAGCAGCTTCAAAAAATGGCCTCAGCTAAAAGCCAATGACTAAGCCAAGTTCAGGTGAAGCAGATCAGAGGCACAAAGGGTGAATAAAGATTTTCCTCCAAAGTACATAACAGAAGCCATAACATTAACACACATCTGACTTATTCACACATGTGCACAAGTGTATGACCAATCACAGAATAGATAATGAACTCAATTTCTAAAAAATATAATAGAATAAAAGATTTCCTGCAAAATGTGAAAGAACTGAACTAAATTTATGTTACCGTAAGGATCACCAACTAATATAATTTCACAAGAAAATAGGATGACTCATAGACTATCTAAAGAAATTCAAAATGTCCAGTTAAACCACAAATTTCAAAGGCCCAAATAAAGACCCTCTAATAAAGAATCTGGACGTTTCTAAAAATTGCATCTCTGTAGTTAACACAACTAAATTCAAGACTCCTGTGCCCAACCCTTACTGGCAATGGGCCTTCCCTAGTTAGTTTGTTTTTCTTACCTTTCTGCTGATTGCCCGTTTTAGCCAAATTCTAAAGGCAACGGACCAGTCCTGCCCTTTATACCTTATACCTGGTAGACTGGGATGTTAGGATGGTTTAGGGTTCAATCACTGACCACCAAATAAGGACATTTAACTTCACTATCTTAATATTCAAATAAACAGATCCTTTGGAAAATTTCAGATATGCACTTTTGGAAAATAAATTCTTAGTTGATTTTGAGTAGAGAACATGAAAGCCAGATTAAGAAAACTAAAAAATAAATTTAAAGAAATACTCCAATGGTAGCATTTTTCTTCCGTCATCCGTTACATTTCGCTACATGATTCCTATTCCACAGGCATGAATGGTCTTCAAAGAATAGTCCATCAGTCACACATATTATACACAGCAGCTAATTTTCCCAACTCGTTTGTGAATAATTCTCCCCTTTCCTACCAGGCCTTATATGCTGTATACCATACTACACGTAGGAGCTCTTATCTAGACACACTGGTTACTTTAAAGACTAACCTATTCGTTTTGGAGAGGCATGGAAAGCTTTCCATTTATTAAAATGTTTTCAGCACTTTCTTATCTATTCTCCTATCTCCTATCTGTCCCAACCTGGTTGGTCTCAACTACCTTCATGTCTCAGTTCAGAAAAGTCTTCATAGGGGCGGTGCCTGTGGCTCAGTGAGTAGAGCGCTGGCCCCATATACGGAGGGTGGCGGGTTCGAACCAGTTCGAAACTGCAACAAAAAAAATAGCCAGATGTTGTCGGGGGGGAGGGTCTATAGTCCCAGCTACTCGGGAGGCTGAGGCAAGAGCATCACCTAAGTCCAAGAGCTGGAGATTGCTGTGAGCTGTGATGCCACAGTACTCTACCCAGGGCGACAGTTTAAGGCTCTGTCTCTTAAAGAAAAAAAAAAAAAGAAAGAAATGATCCTCTCACTGAATGGTCATGGGGTGGGGGTGTTTGGCACACTTTTGGGCAGTGCCTGTGGCTCAAAAGGGTAGGGCTCCGGTCCCATATGCTGGAGGTGGCAGGCTCAAACCCAGCCCTGGCCATAAAAAAAAAAAAAAAAAAAAAAAGTCTTCATAGCACCTAAGCTAAACCATCGTTCTGCTGTACACCATCACAGCTTTTAACAAGAACCAAACTTCCATGCCTCTTCTCTCTCCTCCTCACTCCTACCCACCATTAGAACGTAAGCTCCATGAGGGCAGGTCCAGGAGGTGGGGCCTGTTTCATTCAGACTTACATGTCCAGCATGTAGAAGCTTGCTAGGTACACATGGGCACTCAAAAATGTTTGTTAGATGAATGAACAAGTGAATGAGGGAGTCCATCAGATTAATGTGGGTATTTATACTAAATTTTTGTATTAGATAAAGCTCACAGATATATGCAAAAAAAGCTAGAAAGCAAAGGGTCAGGATCAAGTTCTAATGATCTTAGGTTTAAGGTGACATGATCTAGAGAATATGGGAGTGGGAGAAAATACGGAGGAGGCAGAAGAGAGAAAAGATGTTTCATTACAAAGTGCCAGTGGTATTAGCAAATGACTGGAGATAGAAAGAATTGATGCAAATATGACTTAGGGTTTTAATACCAGGTGTTTAAAGGAGTGGTAATAACAATACACAGGCAGTGGAGGTCCCCCGAGAAGGGAAGTCACTTTGCAGTCATGAGTACAAATTGGGACTGGCCTCTCTGTAGCAGTAGAACATCCTAAAGGAGCTAACTGAAAAAGAAGAATACATTTAAGAAAAGGGGCCAATAAAAAGGGAAGGATGTGAAATCTAAAGGAAACACTGAGAAGGACAGTCAAAGATCAAGCAGAAGGATGAGAAGAAATGCGGGTGATAAGGAAAGTTAAAGACAAAAAGAATTAACTTATGAATTTAGCCTGAAACATTCTAGAAAAGAGTTATGAGAGGCCACCTGCCCTTCCAGTTGGTAAAAGCCAGTAAAAAGTTACAACAACTGTAACTTAGAAATAGATACCACACAGGTGGCCAGAATAGGAAGTTGAGAAATAGATTTGTTTAAATATTTATATTATTCAAATAGCCATTAATATTGAAGATGTCTCAAAACACTAAAAATGTAACTACTACATGATCCAGCAATTCTAATTCCAGGTATTTATCCAAAGGAAAAGAAATTTTTTATTGCTGCACTGTTCACAACATCAGAGATATAGCATCAACCTTAATGTCATCAAGGGATGAATGGATAAAGAAATGTGGTGTATGAACACAATGGAATATTCAGCCATACAAAAATAATTCAACCTTGCCATTTTCAGCAACATGGATGGAACTGGAGGTCATTATGTTAAGTGAAATAAGAGAGGAACAGAAAAGACACTCATATGTGGGAGCTAAAACAGAGGCTCTCAGGGAGGCAGAGAATAGAATGATAGATACCAGAGGCTGGAAAGGGTGTGCAGGTAAATGGTGGGTGGGCGCTGAGGAAGAGAGGCTGGTTAATGGGCGCCATCACAACACAGTCAGAAGGAGTAAGTTCTGTCATTCAATAGTTGGGTAGTGTGAATATGGTTACTTTAAAGACTAACCCATTCATTTGGAAAGGCATGGAAAGCTTTCCATTTATGAAAATGTTTTCTTAATTTTAAAAAAATGTGTCCTATATTTCAAAGAGGACTTGAAGAAATGTTCCCAACACATAAATAATAAAATAGTTGAGGTGATGGACACACCAAATATTCTGACTTGATCATTAATTACATGTAACAAAATATAACATGTACCAAAATGTAACATGTACCAAAATATAGCATGTACCAAAATATCACAGGCACCCCATAAATACAATAGAAATATCAGCATCAGTTAAAAATAAACAAAGTAGCCATCAAATTAATGCAGAAAGAATAGATTACTGTTTTTTTAAAAAAACTCCAATCAGAGTGATTTAAAGTAAGCTCATAAGAAAAAATCCAGATATTATGTCATAAAAGGCAAGAGACTCATATTTTAAAATACATAGGTTTTTATGAAAAATTGCATGAGTAGGTCAAAAAACAGGAATAAATGATGTCATAATAGCAGGCCAGAAAGGTTTTGGTTTTGTTTATTCCAGTTTCTCTAATCAGACAAAACAAAACAGACAATGGAAAAAACAGACAACATGATTTTCAGGTTAATGAATACTCCTGTTTTTAAACTGCCCATCCTTCTTCCAGTATCACCCTTTAAACCATCTAAAAGGATTTAAAAAAAAGATCAAAAACCAGAAGATCCTTTCAGGCAGGAAAGTTTGGTTTGATATAAATATTTACTGTGTGAGGCCAAACACTTGCCATTCAACAACAACAAAAACCCAGAAACTTCAGAAGCACACAAATTTGCTCTGTATTTTAGAACATATGTGATGAGAATTGTCTGATGAATGAGAGAAAAACAAAGAAATAGTCCAAAAGACACAAGTAAAACGGTTGACTTAATTATCAAGAAGGATCATGACAATCATCATCATTCAGTGGGGACTACAAACAAGACCAAAATTCTTACAGAAATAATACTTCAGAAGATACTTTACTTTAAAAAAATTATAGAAATAAGAGAAAAGCTATGTTAGCCTGCAAAAAAGTACCATACT